TAAGAAACTAAAGATTCTTGAAAAACAAGAAAAAGCCCGAGAAATAAAAAAATTTTATTAATAATAATCAGCATTATTGATGAAACAGTGGAGATCTGAATTGCAATTAATGATTTAAATTATCGTTTGGGCTTGTTTTCCTATTATTACTAGTATCGTTGGCAAAAAATAGTAGGTACGAAGGAATTGTAATGATGTGGGTTCATTCGCTGGGTTAATTAGAATTAGTTAAAAACAAAAAAAGTCAAGCACAACTTATTGCAGCAATGTCTTCTAGCGCAACTTGTACTTACTAGTATAATACACCCGCTCTCTTTGTGCGTATTCGAAAAGCACTAGATTTCACTAGATTATATGTCGATATTAAGCAAGCCAATTGTGTGCGATGGTAACCAATCTTGCACGTACGACAAAACAGTGCACTTCTGCACCAACCTATTTGTTATATCATTCATATGTTGGTGTTATTAATTAATTATAATAAAAGTTCACTATAAGCCTTAATATAACAGTGTTAAGTCATAATATTTATTTAGCAGGCATTATCTGATACCAAAATAAGGTTTATATTCATTGCAATAAAGTCCAGTGGTCAGTACTTTTGCTGGACATTATTTATTATTAAAGGGTAAAAAAATTATTCTGGCATTGTAAATAAGTTTTATTTGATCAAAAATAAATTATGAATGTATCAAATCGTGTATGTCAAATATATTTTTTTTTGAAATTTTTGGTGTATTTGAATTTCCCGCAAGTTTGCCAGTCACATTTGAGAGCAGCACGGCCCGTCGAGTGCCTTCACTCAGATTTGTGAGTGAACGAAATTTGTTCCTCTGAAAGCTGACTGCTGATGCTGAGTGAGCGCTCGGTACTTACTCAGCTAGTTTATGGCTATCCGTGATGCCATGAAAAGAGAGAAAAGATTGTTTGATGTTTCGTCCCGGGAGCACGCCAGGACTCATCACCCAAACAGAAATTGAGTTTATAGGCACTGAACAGATCCTGGACAGGTGCCTGAGCTGCCTGCGTAGGACCTGCTCAGGCATTGATGGAATTTTATCCAACGATGTGCACAGGACCTGCTCAGGTTCCTGCACAGGCAGCCTTAGCTCAGGCAACCTGGACAAATACAATCTAGTCCTGAACTTACTTTTACACAATTAAATAGTAAGGTTATGTTACAAAAAAAATGTTTTTAAACAGAGAAGTTGATTTCAGTGAAGTTTTATGAGATACAAGTAAGCTGGGAATGTGATATTGCAATATTTTTAAAAGTTTATCCATGTGGCTATTTGCAATAAAACACTCTCTTTTCCATTTCCGAAGTTGTACATACAAATCACGAACTTCATCAATATTGACACTTGTTTGTTTTTTTTTTGTTTTTTTTTCTTACGCACTGTCATCAGTTGTGTTTAATTCTTCAAAAATTTCTTGCTGAATATCGTTCTAAATTTCTTGCTTATCAAACTGTACAGCTGAGTTTTCACTAATATTATCTGTAAGTTTAGCTTTTTTTTCATTATTTCCATTAAATCTGTATGGTTTTCTTTTTTCCAAAATTTTTCTTTTACGAATAATTTACATTCTATATTTATTTCGCGTCTTCCGTCGAGAATAAAGGTTTTGCTTCATTTTAGATTAATTGAAAAAAAGGTTAAGAATATACTGTAGTAGCAGACAGTTGATGTCAGTTCAGGCAAGAGCACCGGACCTGTTCAGGAACTGTGCACTGCCTGAACTCACATATGCATAAAATGCCTATCTTGCCTGTGCAGGACCTGCACAGGCAGTCAGGCAAGCTGCGGCACATTTCTATTCGGGATATGATTCGTAAATAACCGAAATATTTTTTTTCATGTTTCATTATGGTGAAGATTGGTAATTATAGTAGTGCTATGTGATCGATTTTATAAACCAGCCGCAACTTAGACCAACTGTTGTAAATTAAAAAGTTTTATTTAAATACAAGTGCCATTTGCGGTAAGATTAGAGTTTATCTTCTACTCGAAAATCGACGTCCAAAAATGTAGTTACTCTAATTATTTATATAATATAAGCATTATCAACAATCTAATGTTGTTTAATTCTGGTGCGGGTGGCGGCTGGTTTAGACTTTTGACATTTGGCCGCAGGGACAATAGATTTGTTCTAACCCCCTTTTGGTTCGGTCCGGTTCTCTTAGAAAAAAATATACATAATCATATAGGTATACTTTGCTAAGAGAACCGGACCGAACCAAAAGGGGTAAGAACGAACCTATAATCACAGACCGGTCAGACGTCTCTCTCTTTCTCACTCTCATGTATAGGTATAGTATACATTTGAACGGGTGTGTTGCGTCAACCGAGTGTGTCAGGCGTCAGGCCGCTTCAGGCGCGCTTATAAGAGCTGCTGCCCTAATGAGAAACAAATTGCAATTTACTTACCTATAGTCAAATTTTTAATTTTTCAAAATATATTTCAAAGATGGTCAAGTTAACTCCGGATCTCATTCAACAGTCTATGCAGTACATCAATCCTGTAAGAGATCGTGAGTTAGATCTCCGAGGTAAGATGTACTATTGCAAATGTACTCATGTTGTGGCACACAAGCTGGATGAAATGCAATGATCCACATAACCTATTTCATTTATTTACCGTAACAAATATGTAAGAAATCATACACAATTGTTTGTTTTATTTTGCAGGGTACAAAATACCAACTATAGAAAATTTAGGAGCGACACTGGTTAGTCTCAAATTTGGTTAATTTTGCCTATGAGTTTTTGTAACACCTCTTGTTTTAAATCAATTCAAGATTATTCTGGTTCCTTCATCACGCTACAAGTATTCAAGAGCTGTTATTATTTTTCTTGCAGGATCAGTTTGACACGATAGATTTTTCAGACAACGATGTCAGAAAACTAGATGGGTTTCCGTTATTGAAGCGTATCAAGACATTGTTTTTCAATAACAACAGAATAATCAGAATAGCCGAAGGCTTAGAGAACTGTATACCAAATTTGGAAACCCTGGTGCTCACGGGTAACATGATTCAGGAACTTGGCGATCTCGAACCATTAGTTAACCTGCAGAAACTTTCTACTCTGTGTTTGTTACAAAATCCGGTATCTGCTAAACCTTACTACAGACAATACCTTGTCTTCAAACTACCACAATTGAAATTGCNTAATAATAATAATAGTAGTACTAATAGAAAACTAAAGAATGCTTACATGCAAAAAATATCTTTTATACTATAGAACAATTCATAAGTATTAGGTCGTTTGTACCAGCAGTGATAAAGAGTTCAATAATTAAATTTCGTACTCACTGTCTACCGTAAAAATCTTATGTCATAATGACCCTGTTGAAAATGGTGACAAAAAAATCCACCAGTTTTGTTACAAACATTTGTTCTGGAAGCAAGCTATGTATTATAACCGAATATCTTTTGGCACCCAGGGAATCGTAATCTCCCAACTGTTCATTATTAGACAGTCAATCACAGAGCAGTTTAAATAAAAAGTCAACCTAAAATGCCTCGTAACTGGCTGTCAATATAATATTCAGACGTACATTATACAAGGGTATCTTATCTCTTTTTCGAATAACAATCTAAGAATCGAATTTTAAGCCAGAAGTACGATCCTCAGCGATTGTTATTGTTTTCTTGCTATCAGACCAAAAATCTGTAGGGCCTTGTGACTTAAAAACTTAGTAATATTGTATTTCATCAAAAATAAATTTTTTCTAGAGCGGCATCTCGTTTCGTTCTTCGTTACTGATCTAGGAATCGAGGAATTTCATAGAAAAAATACGTTCTTTAGCGATAACTCTTTTTTTCTCGCTATCAGACCGAAAATAGAAAGAGTTTTTTGACTTACAAATACAGTATCATAATAAAACAGAAAGAAATTTTTTTTAGAGGGGTTCTCTTATATTTTTTTCTGATACTGATACTGTGGATCGACGAATTTAACTTAGAAATATGATTTTCAGCGATAAATCTTATGTTTTTTGCAATGAGAGCGAAAAACTGAAAGGTGTTTTAAGTTATAAACAAATTCTTATAGTAAATTAAAAAAAAATTTTTTTTCAGAAGGGTACCTCATATTGTTTTTCGATACCAATTTAGGATCTGATGTTTTCACAAAAAAAAAAAAAAACGATCTCTAGCTACAATTTTTTTTTCGCTGCCAGATCAAAAATCTGAAGAGTCTTTCGGCTTACAATTATAGTATTTGAGTAATAAAAGAGATTAGAAACTTTTTTAGCAAGTTCATCTTGTTTCCTGATACCTATCTATAGATCGACAAAAAGTACGATTTTCAGAGAAAATTATTGTTTTCTGGCTATAAGACCAAAAATTTTAAGGGTTTTTCCCATTTGAAACATAGTTATGTAGTGAAAACGAAGACAAAAAAATTTTCAGGTAGATACCTTATCTCGTTCATACCGATTAAGGATGTGATGAAGTTCTTATAAAAATACGTTGTTTAGCTATAATTATTGTTTTCTCGCTATAGGATCGAAAATCTGAAGGGTCATTCGACTTACAAACATTTTTTTATAATAATACTAGCGGCCCCCCCCGTCGCAGCTTCGCTCGAGACTCACTAAATGGAACACCGTAGTGTGTTGACATGTAATGTGAAACGTTATCAGTTAAAAATCTTACATCTATTCCCGACACTTCCGGGAACAAAAATCTTCTTATTAAAAATATATTTGTTCGGAATCCATACAGTTAACTTGGTCAAATAATAAGGTGTAAAAAGTGAAAAAAATATAATTGCTGAATATCGCTCTAAATTTCTTGCTTATCAAACTGTACAGCTGAGTTTTCACTAATATGATCTGTAAGTTTAGCTTTTTTTTCATTATTTCCATTAAATCTGTTTGGTTTTCTTTTTTCCGAAATTTTTCTTTTACGAATAATTTACATTCTATATTTATTTCGCATCTTTCGTCAAGAATAATGGTTTTGCTCCATTTTAGATTAATTGAAAAAAAGGTTAAGACTAAACTGTAGTAGCAGACAGTTAATGTCACTTCAGGCAAGAGCACCGGACCTGTTCAGGAACTGTGCACAGCCTGAACTCAAATATGCATAAAATGCCTATCTTGCAAGCTACAGCACATTTCTATTCGGCCAGTAAGGCTGATGACGTGCTCCCTGCCTTAGACACCTATATCGGTGGGGATACCCTATAGCGCAATCTTAAACGCCCTTATATATTAACCAACATGAAATCCGGGCACTTGCGAGAAGGTCAAGTTACATGGTTAGACGCCTAGCGGATGGTTGGAGAAGGACGGAGAGCCGAAGTGTACATGTGTGTGAGAGCCGTGAGAGCCCGTGGGGCGTGAGGGCCGTGAGAGGGTCCCCACAAGTTGGGTGTCGACACGCCACCACGCGGCTGAACGCCAAACGTACGCTGTGCATGTAAATGGAAAGTATCTCTCAGTGTACTAATCTCTGGTCGGAGCCATAATATCTCTATCAGAGATTAATCTCTGTCTCTATGGTCGGAGCACTTGGAGCACATCAAAGAAATGTAATTTCTATATGATATTATGGCATATAAAAACGTAAATACTAGTTCCAGAAGCATAACTGATCAGAAAGTAATCAAGTTTCTAAATTTCACTTCGTTTTTTCACAACAAAATCTTTAGAATGTACCTGATGTTATTGATCGATGGTTATTACCTTAATCCATTAATAAAATTTCATAAGTAAAAAGAGTTAAATGTGGATGCCTAAGAAAGCATGTAAGTATTTCACCAAGTTAAGACAAATTTTTATCTTAGCAAAATAGTAAATAGAAAATTCATAAGTATTCTTTTCCAGAATACAGTAGTTCTTGCAGATTATCTATATTTCTGAAAGTGAAGCATTGATTATTGATTGATTATTGATGATTATTGATGTTTAATGAATAATTTTTGAATGAAGTTAAACAATCTAAGATTTTTTTTTACAGGTTATTAATCAAACCTAATTAAAAAAAAACTATTTTTGTAAATTAAATAAGTTTTGAAAAAATGCATTAATGCAATTTTTTTCTTGCCTCTTTCTGGAAAAAACTTGCATTCCTTTTAATGCTTTGTATTTGTTTTCTTACAATAGCTTTTATTTTTTTAAACACAACCTAAAGTTACATTGTAAGCTCTCTTTTTTTAATAATAGTAATACTTTGTAACATTTTGACGGANTTATTAAAAATATATTTGTTCGGAATCCATACAGTTAACTTGGTCAAATAATAAGGTGTAAAAAGTGAAAAAAATATAATTATGCTGAAAAGTCCCGTGCGTTCTTTATGCCATAAAATAATCGTTGGCCCGAAGGGGGCGTTGATTTGCAAATTCTCCCGTATAATCTTCATAAAAGGCTATTTTTTTAGGCTGTAAGAACTTAAAACTCACAGAAAATGCATAATTAAGAAAAAAAATTTTGTTTTATGTCACAACTTCATTATCAAAGCAACAAAGTCCTGGGGCTTAATCTCTACATTTTTGATCACCACAAAAATATAAATACATATTTTACTTGTTTAAAAATATGGAAGATTTAGGAGATTACTGTGAGGGTACAATGAAAAGCTGATCTGTCACTTGATAAATTCTTTATTTATCGACTTCAGTGCTGCTTTAATCTCGATAAATATTCAGCGTCATTTTTGTGATGCCTAAAACTGTATTCATTAGATGCATTTTAAGTTTACCTTCCAATTCAACTTTTTGCATCTTTTGGCATAGTTAAGACCTTTATGAGCCCTAAAGGCTATTTTTTTTCAACTTAATTAGGTTGTCATATATTTGTTGGAAAGGTAGTTCGACGTCCGATTATCCTGAAAAGGACTGGTAACCTTCTTTACGTCACTGGTGCTCTGTAAGTGAAAATTAACGCCCGCTACGCAGTCGGAGTTTTTTACTTACCGAACACCAGGAGACGTAAAATCGTATACGCACCACGTTCGGAGGTTAAGAAATGCCCTAGATTTCACATTAGCCGCCCTCGGCTTCGCCTCGGGCGTTTATTCATGTGAAATCTGCGACATTCTTAACCTCGCTCTCTAGGTGCGTAATGTACTATAAGTAAACTCTTTCTTGACTGAAGTTTCCAGCAAGCATGATTGCCTCTATAATTCAGGATGTTCTTCTCTGGCCTGTTATTGTAGCACCACACTGGTTGTGAGAAAAACTACAACGTTTAAAGCGTTGTAGAGCTCTCTCCCAACGTCTGCTTATATAACGTCGAAGACGTTGGTGTTAAGAGCACTTTCTTTCTTTGCAGACTCAGTTGTTTTGGTGATCTTAGATGGAGAGGTCGGTTCGTGATGCTTGCCCGTTAAAGACTGTCCCGTTGGCTCAAGCTTATTTTTCCTTTATAGCTGTTCAGTTCCCCCAGCACAGATTTTAGAGAAGATCGGTGATTCCTGGTTGAATGCTTAGAGTCCAGAGGGTAATATAGGATCGTTGGTGGCCAAGGTTCTCAGCTTTGCAAGGAACAATTCCACTCGTGACGTCTTTCAGTGAATGACTGACTTAGTTTATTAGTGGCCGGCTTTATATAGTCTTTTAGTCGTCGAACCGTTACCAGAAATGGAAGTAAAATGGCAAAATAGTTAAAAATTAGTTCACCCTTAAAAGAACTGATGAGATTAATGGTTAAGTAGAGATCGTAAATACTTATGATGGCCCTGAAAAGAGTCAGTGATGATACTTCTAGCTATTCCTTATAATTCTTGATAATAGAGCCAGTTACGGGTAGCTTGACCCTTACCCTCGGAGTCTTTGCGTACGAAGACCATGCTGGAGGGAGGTCCGCCGCTCATTATGAAATATTTCATCTTCAGGTCGTTTCCCGGATAACCAACCGCTCATCGTTAGTCGGGAAAGTGGGCAACGACATACCTTGTCTGTGGGTATGCCGTTGGGACGACCACTGAAAAGGAGGCCGTTGTCACTGCCTGAATTTCTCAGGGCTGTCTTCCCTGGCTTGCATTTGTAGTAAAAAATTCTCTGACGGCACGAGGCCCGATGATTGAACGGCCACAAAACTCTAAAGTGTTGGAGCAGTTTGTGCTCTGGCTAGATACGTCCTTTGGTATTTAGTCAGAAACGTTATCGTTTAAAACATTTTTTATTGGTGGCACTCGTCAATCCTGGTAGTTCAGGGTGTAATGAGACCTGGATCGTTTACCTACTGAAGAAGAGACCCATCGGTAGTCGGGATACCCAGCTGAATGTCTAACAACTCTGTTTATGATGCACTGCCGGTGAACAATGATAGTAATGGCCGAGAGGCTCGGCCATTCTATTGCAGGTAGCTTTGATTTTAAGTCCACGCCACTTATCGGATCCTACTGAACTAATGTGAAAAGCTAGCGTATTTTTGTAAACGTTTGAGCTTATTTATTGCTATTGTTATTAATTTTTTCAAGACAAAAACTATACTAAAACCATTTAGGAAGTGTCAATAATCAGTAATTTCAGCCAGATTGGTTGAGTAGTTTTTGTGATTAGCGATTACAACGGTTTTAGCGACGTAGCTTTACATAGTCGTAAAATAAGTGTTTACGTTAAAGCATTAATAAGTACAGAAGCAGGCATGATTCGAAACAACATTTTTCAATTAATTCCGAAAAAGTTCAGCAAAACGATTAAACTAATTGGTGATCAACGGCTAACGCGAATCCAATTGAAAGTACCGGATCAAGCCCGCATAAGCAAGAAATCGCGAATGCTCACAGTACTCGTGCGGGTTGTACTCAAGGCTCCCAGATTTTCGGGAGTTCGCCGCATGCGCAGTGCGCAATCACCCTCTCTCTATAGAGCAAGCTGGAGCGGGAGAGCCCCCCTACCCAGACCTTTAACCTAAGCCCCGCCCACTTCTCACAACTTAGATATGACATCTTGTCAAGTAAGATTACAATCGACGATAGCCGCGCGGGCTTAGTCTTTTGCCCCAGCCAAATTTGCCAGCTTTCGAATCTCTCTGATAATTTTTTTTTTTTTTTAATGTACGTTATACATAAAGTGTTATGACACGTTTATGTAAATAATTATATGTATAACGTTTTAACACTAAGACATAATTTTAAAAAATACTATGTACAAGACAAGATAAGTAAAATTATAAAACAAAATATTCGTCACTTTTTAAGGAAATCAAAACATTAATATTTAGTTAGTTAAGCGTCGAGTAATGATAATTAAAGTATTATTTAGTATTTAAAAAATACCAAACGACACGTCTTGATCATTGTTAATGTAATTCACTATTACGTTATTATGGTCGGTAAGCAACACTGTTTAATACATTAATCTGCCTCAAATTGCACAAACTTTTTTTTGATTGGTGTATCATTAATAACTTACTTCGCTACAAGTATTTATTCTTGGAAATACGTCTCGTCAAAAAATATGGATTGCCATTAAAGCTCATGCTGCAATTTCTCAATATTTTTCTGTATGTACCCTAAAAACACTCGACAAAAAATAGTAAAAAAGTTCATGCTGATTTCCGATAGTATAATTATTAAAATCTATGAATTTTTAGTTGTTTAATAAATAAACACCTTTTTTTTCGCTCAAAGTATGTTTATTACAGCACGCTTTCTCTGTAGTTTCTCCGGGCTTGAGACCGGCACATTTACTGTGGCCACATTACGCGTGCGATAATTTATTTACATTTACGTTCAAAATTAAAAAAAGCCCGGAGGACAGATTAATGTATTAAACAGTGTTGCTTACCGACCATAATAATGTAATAGTGAATTACATTAACAATGATCAAGACCTGTCGTTTGGTAATTTTTAAGTACTAAATAATACTTTGATTATCATTACTCGACGCTTAACTCACTAAATATTAATGTTTTGATTTCTTTAATAAGTGACGAATATTTTGTTTTATAATTTTACTTACCTTGTCTTGTACATAGTATTTTTAAAAATTATGTCTTAGTATTAAAACGTTATACAT